ACAGAATAGGTTTGATATGGTCCTTGGTTTTATCTACCAGTTGCTTTGCTCAGACATTTTTCCTCAAATCCTCATCCTTTAGAAAAAACAAAAACAAAACTAAACCTTTCTCTTATGAACTCACATTTAAGCAAGGGGTGTTTCTATTTCTGTTTTCACACCACTGTGTAATGTAGTGAGGTGCCCAGTATGTATTTGGTCATCTTTCTAAATTAAAGGTGGTAAATTGATAAACAATTGATCACTACGATCCAGAAACAAGTGAATAGTGAACATGATGATGATATAAGCCCTTTTAAACAACAAATGTGTTGTCTTCATTATGTCTTTACAGCGCACACATGCAATGTAATTCTGTAATTCTGGCATTCATTGTTCCTTTGTTTTTACATGAAACCAGAACAGTATACCTCGCCTGAACCACAGGCAGACTCAAGCCCAGAACCCGAACCAACACTGGAGGGAGAACTAAAATCATAGCTGGAACCAGAACCAAGTTTTGTACTGAGAACTGGCGTAAGCTCTGATCTCAAACCTGAACCAAAAGGCCCAGAACCACTTAACTCATCCTCAAATATCTGCAACAAAGTAGAGGAGACAGAAAAATAGCAAAAATGTAGATGGATGAATAATGGCTAGAATGGGATGACTGTATAACATATTTAAATAGATTAAAGGGGACCTTTTTTATCTGGAAATCTGTAAGATATAAATATGCTGAGCACATAAATATAGCAGAGTGTAAATAACCTTTTTTTTTTTTATCTATAGATGCACCATAAGTTGACATGTCACCTACTGGTAATCCCTGTTTGCCTGGGAGTCCATCAATGCCAGGGGGACCAGGTGGTCCAGTGTGGCCAGGTATAAGTTCTGATGTTAATAGAGGTGCAGGAGGACCAGGTGGTCCTGGAGGCCCTGGTGGACCGGCTGGACCCTGGAAATCAAAGGAGTGATTACTTTTTCTCCTCCTGAAATGTAAATTACATCCAATACTGTTGCCTTTGATTATGTTCTGTTGAAGTTTGTATGTTTTGTTTTTTACCTTGATATAAATAGTATCAGTATCCAGATCCTCAAAGCCAGATCCAAGGGCATCTGCTCCATACTAGAACATAAATGCAATGTTTTTGCTTCATTAAATCCATTAATATAGTGCATTCAGGTGATTTTATAAACTGTTTGTGAAATTTAATATAGTCTGCTCACGGGTACACTGCGGGATCTGGGAGGTCCTGGAGGTCCAGGAAGACCAGGGGGGCCCGGCAAACCAACTCCTGGGTCTCCCTTTATTGGTATATAACACACAATAAGAATCTTATCTAAAATTGTACTTATTAACAACCTTTTGTTTTTGTTTTTTTTCATCGTGGGAAATAATACTAAGTTGATACATCGTGTTATCAATCTATTTACATTCCATGCTTTGCTATAACCTAAAAATGGCCACGAAAAGAACAACAACCTTTAAATGTTTCTGTAATAATTTACGGCTTTTTCCTTTGAAAGTTTTAAAAAAATATATAACATTATGCACTAATCATTTATAAAATTTACTGTGTATAAAATGTTATTCCAGGCTCACTTATTGGGGGTACAAATCAATGTGTTCACTGCTGGACATTTGTGCGTGGCTTATTATAGGTCAATTCGTGCACACCAGATCTAAACACCAATGGTTTATAGAAATTCTATTCTACTTGTTGCCTACATTAAGAATTGTGGTTACCGGCAGAGTACTGTAGATCACTAATATAATCATAATATATATAAGACTTTTCTGCTTAGATACTCTACAAGGGCTGAAACTAAATTAAAACACCATAATTTTAAGGAAATGGTTGGTTTAAAAAGCTGGTACAAGCTAGTCCAGAGCAAATGGGATGAGAGCAATTAAAAAGAATCATTAATATGTGTGGACAATAATGGATGTTTATATCAAGTGAAGAATGAAATGATGCAAACGTCCATCCGTGTCTCATATGGAGCATACAGGCATACAGTATGTTGCATCATTTCTGGGATCATGTTTTGATTCACCTTTTCCCCTTTAGTTCCAGCTTCTCCACTCAAGCCTGGAAATCCCTGTTGTCCTTTTTGACCCTGGTGGGAAAATGATATCTAAGTTATGTGATATGTTAGCAATAGAAACAAAATGAAATGAAATAATATTAAATAGTACCCCGAATATGAAGTTACTTACCAGTCCTCCTTTTTCACCTTTGCTTCCCTGCAAAAGGAGATCATAAAAGATTAAAAAGATTTCGAAGACAATGGATCTTTGCTTTTTTTACTCTTTATCTGTTTTTATAACAATACCAAAAACATATAATATAAAATGTCTCTGCTATTTTCTATAAATTAGAAAATCAGACATCCTAATACAATAAAACGTAATAATCTGTGATGTGTTTATTTGTTCTGATGCTAGTTTGCAGTGATGCATGCTTAACACGTGATACTACAATAATTAGGATGTGTTTAGCCATATGTATAGCCATGTATAGCCATTTATATAGGTTTGTAATCAAAAGCTTGTGCTTAAAAATACCTGGTAAATTAGAGCACTGGGTTCCAGTCTAGGTTTGAACCAGAAAGGTTTGCAGGGTCTACAGAATGAAATTGCCTCGCTTTCTAACCTCTAGGCCATTGCTCCTTAAAGTCTGTTGTTTTTGCGTAACATAACCTAAAAGGCAGTATAATTTGTGATAAATCAAGAAAATATAATCAAATATACTTTAGCTCCCTTTCTGTCTAATGCATTTTGATATATAACATCTACAAATATTCCCTACTTGCTTATATTATCTCAGCATCTCTGGGTAATTAGTCAAATTTTCCCATGTCCTCATGTTCTTCACCTATTGCAAGATTTCCCCGCTGTTACAGTCCTATTTCTTGTTTTTTTTGTTTTTTTTTTCATTTCCCACAGCTTTTCTCTCTGAGTTTCTTAGCTTCTGGTCGACGAATCTTGAACCCTCAAAGCCCTGAACATGTTAGATTTTGGGTCCTCTTCAACATTAGTTTGTGACATAAACACGGTTGATTTAGTCAACATTAAATTAAAAGGTCAAATAATTTATCAAAACGCACCCTATAGGCATTGTCTTTTCTGTGGGAGTTTGTGATGCATGGATTTGAATGTTTTTTATCTCTTCTATTAAAATATATCATTAATATTAACCTGAGGAAGACAACAAGACATAATGTCTGAGGTTTGGTGTTTAAACTTTTATCTGTGTTTATCTATGCTTGCATGTTGTTTTAGTCTTAACTCACATGAGAAATAATAACCCTAACCATTTATATAACCCAACCAAGTGTTTACTAAATTTAACATAATTTATTCTGCTACTTAAATGCAAACCAACCTTCTGTCCATCTCTCCCTGGTTTCCCAGGGGTTCCAGGAGTTCCTGGTGGCCCTTGTGGCCCAGGTGTTACTCGCTCCTTTTTGTGTACAAGGCGAGATCCTGGAGGACCAGGAGGTCCAGGTGGCCCAGGTGGTCCACGATCGCCCCGTTCCCCTTTCTGGATATGAACCTGTGAATGGCAAGTTTAAAATAGTTAATTTAACATACCTATAATCAAATGCAACTGATAGTCATTTTTTGTCATCTGGATCTATAGGTGACTGTTTGAAAACAAAATTTTTAAAAAGTAGCTCTTTGAATATTTTACGTTAACTGAGAAATGGCCAAATGTTTATGAAATATTTATTGCACCAAGTTAGACTTCAACAAAAAAACTCAAGTTTTTTTTATCGAGTTTTATTATATCCTTGGGTACTTACATGTCCAGATCGCTCTCCTGCCTCCTCTGTTTGCGGAGACTCTGGATGCATAACAAGTTGTAATAAGTTTTTGCCTCAAAATAAGATACAATAACTTTTCCATTACTGTAAATTAAAGTTAATTTACAAAGATTTTGAATACTAAAAGACATGTATAATCTTCCTTTCCCTTCACAATTATGCGCTACCTGTACCTTAGTCTACAAAGTAAAATCCCAATAAAATGCCTTAAAGCAATTAATTATTTTTTATTGAGCATCTTATGTCATATTTACATAAATTGTGAACTTCAAATAAAGAAGACTGATTCTGACCTGTAATAAGCAGCTCCTCATTGGCCACTGTCGAAGTCATTTGACCAGAGTGCTCACTGAGCTCCACCTCTGGTACCACAGTGGGCGGAGCTATAACAGGGAAGCTGTGCTGTCCCTACAGAGTCAAAGAAAAGACTGTTAAAGGTGATTTGTTGTGAGTGAGATCAAAAAGGTTGTTCCCATAAGTAGCAAGCCTAACACAAAGAAGCTGTAAAAGGTTATTTAAAGGTTCCAGGTTGGAACCTCTAAAAGGTTATTTGAGGGTTCGAAGTATGTCAGCTGTCCATTCAGGCTGAAAAAACATGGATGACTGGTGCTCAGAAGAGCTGTTGTCTTGCAATCTGATTCATTCATTGTTGGATGAATCCTTCCGTAGTGCAAATACTTTGAGTAGTCAGTATGTCTAGAAAATTCCTTTTCAATCTATTTGCAAGTTTTTTTTTTGTTTGTTTTTTTTTAACAAAGACCAATAGTGAACACAACTTTTATATTAGCTTAAAGGTATACCACAAATTTTTTAAAAGACCCGCCATCTCCACTTTAAAAAAAATGCACTTGCCCAACCCTGTACCCGCTACCGAGAGGGAACTCCTATTAAACAAGCATGCATAAACCCATTTCTACTCATGCATGCTCTGTTTAAAAGTTGCTGTTTGCGTCACTCATACAAGCTTACTTTTCAAAAGAAGATTAGCAATTTTTCTACTGACAGACTCACCACCAGAAAGGGAAAATGGGGACGAGCACATAGGATGGCCGTACGTAAACAAATCACCAAAATGATTGACAATTAGAAGGACCACTAATTTTGATGATCCACCAAGAAAAAAAACATACTCCACTATACCTTTAAGAAAGGATCAGGTTACTGCTACGCACGTTTTAAAGTTTTATGATTTTTTTCTGTCTAAAGCATCTGATAATTGACAAAACTGAGGAAAAAATATGACATAGACTGGAGTTCACACATCATATAAACAAGTTTAACTTCTTCAAACCCCTTTTCTAGACATAATCACTATATTATACAAATAACATAATTTTATTTGCTATTCATTATATATTGTTTGCATATGTTTTGTTACTAGATTGTCTGATATAAAGTAATTAATTAATTCATTCATTCATTTGTAGTATAGATTAACCAGCTCTAATGTTTAAAACTTCCTCAGTTGATAAATAAACTCAACTATAGGTGCTTTCAACCCTTCCTATATGGGAGAAAAACATAACAAAATGTATTAAATTTATCTAAACTGATTCATATATTTAATGGGTACAAGGCAGAATTTTACACACTATTTACTTTAACAATAAAGTACTTCAAAAAATTGGATTTATTTTATTTTATTTTATTTTTTACAAATAATCATCTTGAAAAAACGTATACTATCAAGGGTTTGCTATGACATGTAGAAACAACTGTCCTGCTTCAGAGGGAGACAGTTTCCTTTGAACCTTCAAACTTAAAGTGGATCAATGGATGTTTGGGGTCAAACTGACTTCCCACTAGTGGGAGGATTAAAGGATAAACAGCAACCTACCAGCCCTTCCACTCCATCGTCCTTTTTCCTGAAGTCCTCCTCTGTCTCTCTGTCATCCAGAGTATCATCTCCGCTTCCGTACCCAGAGGCCTGAGTTCATGATAAAATAGTTGTTTGTTGAAAATGGAGGATTGTCATAGAAGTTATGTCAATAAATGATGAAGCAGCAGTTTTGTGACAGATACTTTAAAACTCTAACTACTGTTTTTTATACAGTACATATCTTCTGCTTTTGTCCAGAAAGGACAGCTAAGAAGCAACCGGAAAAAAAACTGAGCCATCCAAAATATATCTACGTGGTGCATTTCGGCAGAACACAACATTAAATAAAGGACGCTCTAAGTGTACACAAGTACAAGGACTAAATCAAAAAACGGAAAACTCTGGCTGTTTGTGTGAAAAATATAAAGAAAAAGGCCTGGTTAATTAGTGTCCCTCTTCAACAGGTTAATTAAATTTGTGAAAACTTTTTACAGTTTTCATGCTGCCAATAAAAAGAAATAAAAAACACAAAAATGCATTTCCCTTGTATATGTGCTAATTCTGCACCCATATAGCTGCTGTGTTTGTGTCTCACATATGGATCGTCCTCCTCACACTGCTCCTCTGCTGCTCTAGGATCATCCTTTATGACCAGCTGCTGTATAAATCCCTGTGGATGGAAAATCATAGAGAATAAGAATAAATACGATTAAGCTGTGACATCAGCTAGAATACCTAATGACCAACATACCATTGGTTTTATCTGTGGAGGGAAAAATATTCTTGGTTCTAAGTAATTATTAACTTTTTAGTTTAATAAAGCCTGGTCTTTGAAAAGGAGGAAATACGTTTTAAAGTAAGATAAAGGGATCTGGAAGGGGAAAACATTTTTAAAAGTAAAATAAATATATTGGAGAGAACAAATTTTCTCTAAAAAAATTTCTGGGGAAAAAATATTTTGTCATAGAATAAATAAAGTATAAACTGACATTTGGAAAATTTCCAAGGGAAGAAAGCTCCCACCAAAGACAAAAACCAAGTCTATGCGCTGATTCTATGCATGTATGTATGTATGTATG